TCTCTCTCTCACACACACTCTCTCTCTCTCACACACACTCTCTCTCTCTCACACACACTCTCTCTCTCACTCACACTCTCACTCACAGACACACACACTCTCTCACTCACACTCTCTCACACACACACTCTCTACACACACACACTCTCTCACTCACACACACACTCTCTCTCTCTCACACACACACACACTCTCTCGCTCACTCACACACACACACACACACACACACACACACTCTCTCTCGCTCTCTCTCTCACACACACACACACACGTGTGACGCAGGTGGTGCGACTGACAGGCCTCTACAGTGCTGATTTTCTCCTGTAATAAATGACTCGACTAATGACACAGAACAGAGGAAAACTCTCCAGAGACGCTGCTAACCGCTCACACACAGCAGCTTCATTCAACAGCACAACATCAGCCGTTTAAACATTTTAGCCGGTTTATATGGACGATTGTGTGTCTAATAGGCCAGTGATTAAGCGCTCAGGCGGCCAAAATCATTAGCAACCCAAACCTCTGCGCGCTCCGAGCACTCAAACACTCTCAGATACACATCAGTCAGTTACTGCAGTCATATTATAAAAGTCGGTTACTGTTTCTAAATTATAAACACTAGAGGGCAGAATTGTTCAAAACTAAACATTTGTGACTTTACTGCCTAATAAACGCAGATTTATTAGAAGAGGCTCAACTAAAACATAAATGCTCCATAATACCAGTTTACATGCGTAAAATAGATAAAAGTTTGTTTCATAAGAATAAATATTAGAATATAATATTTTGAACCTTCAGCATAAAAGCAGCCTGTATCCTTTATAGGCTAAATAAGTGAATAATGACAATATTTCACACACACACACAGGCTTTTCACATGACAACGTGACAGTGACAAATGCCAAATGCAGAAGAAAATGTATAGTATGAATGAATGTCTCTTTCAGAATTTCTCCAGAGACACTTGCCCTCTTTAAATTAAAAAATAAAATCAGAAATATATTTTGCACATAAATCTATTAAACAGCCATGAATAACCCACCAGCAACACTGGATGCCAATAGCTGATGTTATTTCAAAGCCGACTGTTTCGGTCGGTCTTTATGTCTGGGCAGAAGACAAGAGGAAATGAAAGCAGATTTCCATCTGGTTTTAAGATCATAGATGTCAAAGTCAGAAAAGTTTTTTGTATTTTGGGTAATGAACCTCAAGTCCATATTTTAGAACTTCATTTGGTCTAAACTCACAACAACACCTGTCCACAGACTGCTTTTACAGTGATATATGCATGAATTGCATGTTTTCACACAATAAAGGTCATGAAGTCTTTTGAAAAACTGGTGCTGGCCCACCTGAAGGACATCACTGCACCCTTGCTGGATCTTCTTCAGTTTGCCTACAGAGCAAACAGGTCTGTGGACGATGCAGTAAACATGGGACTGCATTATGTTCTGCAACATCTAGACAGACCAGGGACTTATGTGAGGATCCTGTTCGTGGACTTCAGCTCGGCCTTTAACACCATCATCCCAAACCTCCTCCTGCCCAAACTAACTCAGCTCTCCGTGCCCATCTCCGTCTGTCAGGGAAAATACACATCCAGCACCTGTATAATCAGCACTGGAGCTCCTCAGGGTTGTGTTCTCTCTCCACTGCTCTTCTCCCTCTACACCAACGACTGCACGTCTAAAGACCCCTCTGTCAAGCTCCTGAAGTTTGCAGACGACACCACACTCATCGGCCTCATTCAGGATTATTCCTTATTTACTTGTTTTATTTTTTATTTTTTATTATCTGTGTTTTTTTGTTCTGTCACTGTCATTCTGTTACACTGTGGAAGCTTCTGTCACGAAAACAAATTCCTCGTATGTGTAAACATACCTGGCAATAAAGCTCATTCTGATTCTGATTCTGATAAAAACATTGATACTTGTTGTTTTTTACACGTCCAACAACACTAATTACTCTGCAATGTTTTGTCACAGACTTGATACACAATCAATAACATTCAGAGTAGGGATGCACTGATACCATGTTTTCAGAACCGATCCAATCCGATACCAAAAAATTCTGAGCATCGGCCGATACCATACCAGCACAGTTTTTTTAAATCAATGTAGAATTTCTATAGCTCTGTGTGTTGACCTGATCATCACTGTTTTGTGTGTTAAACACAGCCTACTAAATATAGACAACTTCAAGAAAAATAAATGAAAAATATATAATATAGGCTATAGGCTAGCGGATAATTCAGCAGCAAAAGTTACTCGAGAAAAATCATGAGTGCACAATAATTTTATAAAATCTAAACATTTAGTGAAAAACATTATTCAGTGGGGAACAAATAAAAGTGAATAAGTGTAGGACTAAATCTGGTAAAATGCTACACATTGTTCTTTGTTTTGTTGTAAAATACATGTATATTTATATTTACTTGTATATTTAAATATAAATATATTTATATATAAATATATAGCTACTATAAAATAAAAAAAAGACAACAATAACAGTAGAATAGTAAACGCACAATATGGGATTTGGATCGGTCTGGTCTGACCGATATCTGGTGTCGGAGCCGATACCAAGAGTGAGTATCGGATCGGCTCATCCCTAATTCAGAGTCTGTGCGTCTGGATATGATTTTACAGACGGACTGATATCTGCATCTCCTCGAATGCCCACCAGAGCAAACGCACCGACACAAAACGCTTGATCAGCTCGAGCCGCTCAGTGAGCGCTTTAGTTTTCCCGTCGCCCTCATTATCCGCTCATAAATGCTGTTCTGCAGTATGCGCAACATGCGAACAAGCTTGTATTATTCAAACAGCCGATCCGAGTGCTTTCCTTTCCTTTTGTCAATGATTCCCTGCAATCTGCATGTGTGGACTTTTTTGCAATCTGCACGTTTGACCTGAAAGACTGTGATCACCCCAGCGCAGAGGAAAACCCTCGAGTGCAGGAAAGGCTGGGTTTGTGCGCTGCGAGTCTGGAGAAGAGGTGAACTTGAGCTGGAAGAGCTCGAGCGAGCTGAACGCCTGGAAGAGAGACGATAACGAGCGTGACTTCTGCTAACAGAGGTTAATAAGAGTCCTCTCTCTCTCTCTCTCTCTGCCTTACAGTCCTCACAGACAACGCTTCCTAACAGTTTCTGCATGCTGATCTGAATGAGCACGGCTATTGGTGTGGATTTCTATGCTATACTGAGGCAGGCTGGTTTTGGAAAGCCTGAGAGCGGTGGTCTCCTCCTGCATTTTCCATCCAGAGCCGCCGAGGTTCATCCATCAGCGGTGACAGGGAGAGAGAAAGCGATAGCCCAACATCACAGCCAAACCTCCAACACAAATAAATGCAGTGATTGTGCTCTCGCGCCGTTCATAAAGACGCGCTGCTGTCCGCGGGAAATATCTGCACGCCGTCTCAAATGAGGACATAAAATGTTCAAACTGCACCAGATGTGTTCCAGTCCGACTTCCAGATCACACGAGCAAATGCATTACGGTTTTTATAATCGCTAGGACTTTATCAATACTTTTCTAAACTCTTCACACAGTTCTCCTTACCAACTTTCAGTTTGGCACAGCAGTAAATTTCACATTCAGAATGCATGAACAACACTACAGTCTCACATCAACTCATTCTTCATAACACTAGCAAACAAACACTTTATCACTCATAAAACACTGACCTGAAACACTAACAACAGGGACATTACACGACGTTTTCTTATATAAAATTTCTTTACACACAAAAATAACACTCTCTACTGTTCAGATTCAGTAGATGTTTCACACTTCATAATCACAGCACAACATTATTCCTGAGGTTTACCTTTTTGTATTTATGGGAATGAAATTGAAAGACTCACACTTGTGTAGTTGTTCCACTAGTTTATTTTGATAGTGTTTCATGTTTTTGGAATATATTTCAATATGGTATTACTGTAGAAATGTGTTCAGTTTTGCATTATGCTATGTTTTGAATAAGTTGATCGGTGTTGCAAACGTGTAGATTGGCAGGTTCATTGAGTTTGGCTGGCAGCTGTGTCTGAGTGAGAGAATAATTCATGTCATTTGAAAGATGCTTTCATTTAATGCTTTTGGCACCAAATCAATGATAAATGATCTACAGTTTAGTCACAAAATGCTGTTGTGCTTCACAAGTGAAGAGTTTTAAAAAAGTGACCTAACTAGTGAGAAATGGGTTGTAGCGGCTGTAAAAAACTGTAAATGAGACGCAATATCTGAACAAACGTGGTGGTCAAAATGGATATCTAGAGCAGATGCATAATGTTCAATGCACCGATGTCCGATATCAATTGATTTGCTATTGATAACTCGTTGCGGGATTATTCCAAATATTCGTCATATTTTCTCACTTACATAAACACAAAGATTATGGACTCCAAAACAAATGTGCACAAACTTAGCACCCGTACATTCTATGTAATGGTTTGTGATACCCAAATTATTTTGTAATTCTTTTCCAATATTCCAACCATACTCACAATCGTTACATGTTTATGGTTTTGCCTTAAGTAACCTCAACTTATTCAAACTGGCTTTAAATATCGGTGTTTTACAGGATCTGTCCGGACCAAAGGAACAAACACAACTGCAAGCTGCATCGTTAAAAGTCAATAAACCTTAATATAGAAAACTAATTTGGTAAGACAGCCAATAATTCAAACTAAATGTTGCTGTTTATACCTTTGACATCATCATCACCATCACCACAAGAGAGTGTGACGTAAGAGAGTCATTCTGAACCGCCCTCTCTCTCTCTCTCTCTCTCTCACACACACACACACACACACACACACACACACACACACACTCTCTCCCTCTCTCTCTCTCATTGGCGATCACAGCGCCTGAATAATTGAATGGCTGGACGGATTTCTGCGGACTCTGAGAGGAATATTCAAAGGACTAAAAAGGAAAATGAAAGATTTTAACATGGAAATGAACACGGACTGGAGAACATAGACACAATGAGCAGAGTACTATTTTTATTTGTATGCTAATCGTCATGGATTTATTAGAAGTTAGTCTTATTTGTATCACTTTTAAACCATTCAAATCCAAACGCGCACTGTGATGCTCGATGAAATGGAGTTCAGTTGCCTTTCTAAAGTGTATAAAAAGTTATCAGAATCGAAATCTAATGCGATTGAAGGACTCTTCTGGAAAGACCGTCGGGTTTAGAGGAGATTTACAGTCGCTCCGTCGTTTCTATTCATGTATTTTAATTCACAATAAAGAGCAGGACTATCAGGAAGGTTAGTAGCATATCATTCACTGCAACAGAAACGGAAAATAGCCAGGAAAACAATTAATAATAAAGCCTGTAAGGTGTCGGAGTGACCATGATTATAGTGTCCGGTTCTGCTCGAGACTAAGCGCTTCTGCATGAGTCCGAAATGAAGGAAAAGTCCAAGAATGCTGCGAAGACACGAAGAGAAAAAGAAAATGGAGAATTTTATGAACTGGCCAAACTGCTGCCGCTGCCCTCGGCCATCACATCTCAGCTGGACAAAGCGTCCATCATCAGACTGACCAGCAGCTACCTGAAGATGCGAGCCGTGTTTCCAGACGGTAACTCACGATCCGCTATTTATGCAGCTTCACTTGTCACGTTGCTTTGCAGTTAATTAGATCGTCTCACAATGCCTTTTCGTTTTATCTTCTTATTTTTATTTTTTGATGTTTTAATAATTAATAAAAAAAAAATAATAATTTTCAAGGGCGGCGGTGTTTATGTAATTGAATGAATGTTTACGCATTTGAAAAAACAAACAAACAAAAAAATATAGGCTATATACAGTATAATTGGTTAAGTTAATTAGGCTAGTTTAAGCGCTAAAAAGAACGATAATTCGTTTTGATCAGATGCGCTCTGCGTGATTAAATGAAACCGATTACGATTCGGGGGAAATCGTGTGAACATACAACGATAAAGCAGTGAATGGCTTTAGGTCTACAATATAATTCATAGCATTTTTTCAGTTTCCTGAAAATAATTATTGCCTGTGTTATTTTCCTCTTATGTTTGTAATTGAACGTTTACATTAAAATAATCGCAGATTCAATCTTTCTGTTTCCGTCGCTGTCAAAGATTTTCGCTTGGATTATTTATAATGTGTCATAACAGATCTCAAAATATGCTCACAACTGGAAGAAATCAAAAGAATCTATTGCATCAGATTACATTGATGATATAAAGTCTATAAATTTAGCACGAATAAATGTTTCTTCTTTGCCTATAAATTATGCAAAATTCAAATTAAATTAATTATTTTAATTTCCGTTTTCGGCTACATGGAAGGATTAGTTTCAGATTAACAATATTAAATTAAGCTATATACTGTGCTGTTGTAAAGAGTCAATTATTACACATAATTTAGAGACAGTTTGTCTCTGATATACTTGGTAATATAATATGTGACCCTGGAGCACAAAACCATAAGGGTCAAATTTTTGAAACTGAGATTTATGCATCATCTGAAGGCTAAACAAATAAGCTTTCCATTGATGTATGGTTTGTTAGGATCGGACAATATTTGACTGAGATGCAACTATTTGAAAATCTGGAATCTGAGGGAGCAAAAAAATATAAATATTGAGAAAATCATCTTTAAAGTTGTTCAAATGAAGTTCTTAGCAATGCATATTACTAATCAAAAATTAAGTTTTGATATATTTACGGTAGGAAACTTACAAAATATCTTCATAGAACACGATCTTTACTTAATATCCTAATGATTTTTGGCATAAAAGAAAAATGTATAATTTTGACCCATACAATGTATTGTTGGCTATTGCTACAAATATACCCCAGCGACTTAAGACTGCTTTTGTGCTGCAGGGGACACATATATCATACGTAATAAAACATGGTTGTTTGCCAATCATACATTTTAGTATAGGATTTAGTTTTGCCTTTAAAAAGTATTTCTGGCAAATAAATATTCTGTAGCTAAGTGACATTTTATCAATATGGCATAAAATCTGTCTACATGTTGGGATGGGCGTTTTAATTGACTGTCTAATCACTTAAAAGTATTTAATTTTATCTAATTATGATAAATACGCTACGGCTTCAGGATAATATTACGTTACATCTAAATCCCGCCAGGTTGACAGATAAATATATTTGATTAACGTGTGATAAAAATATAAATAACTCCCGTTAAAGTGGCATTTAAATTAGGTTTTAATTCTAAGGCAGTCCGCTTTGCGAATTCTTTGATTCTAAATCATTTCTTCACAACCATGAGTGTTGAACTCTAGCTTCTCTCGCTGTGTATGTGATTTGTGGAGCTCGACTGAATGTGCTGTGTTTGTGTGAGGTCTCGGAGAGGCCTGGGGTCAGGCGGCACGGGTCAGTCCTCTGGACCTCATGGCCAAAGATCTGGGGTCTCACCTGCTGCAGGTGCGAGCCTTTAAGAACTACATGATATCTTGACGCTAATATCTTCAAACGCATCTGATGATTGTGCAAATGAATGATACGATCATGTGTTTAATGCACGTATGTTTTTATGTATTCTGGTTTGTTTTTCAGACGCTGGACGGCTTTGTGTTTGTCGTCGCGTCTGACGGTAAAATCATGTACATTTCGGAAACAGCTTCGGTACACCTGGGTTTGTCACAGGTGAGAGTTTAACACGAAACCAGGGTCAGTTCGGGGCCACAGTGATAACACTTCAACACACACATAACTGAGCCATGAAGGACACTATAACTTTATCTGGGGAATGTGAAGTGAATTCATTCACACTGTTGTTTGCTCAATATCGTCTCTGCTGAGAATTTCAGACTTTGAGATATCCAGATCTGGTCTACTCTTTCTGAAATCTGAAGAAAAACACTGAGATTGTGCTTGTTTAATGTTTAGATTTTGTATCTGAGCATGTAAAGAGACACTTGTGTGCATCACACACACACAACCATTCAAAGAATTTGAATTATAGAATAGTAGAATTTGATTAATATAAATACAATTCAAACTTTTTTTTACAGTTTGAAATCATTTTAGTTTGAGATATTATGCAGTTACTTTAGTTTTAGGATCAGGGTTGTAATTTTTAGATGTGATGGCAATTTTTGCAGAGGTCTAAGAAAGCCCTGTGTTACACAAAAATAAAGCTCATTACTCTCCCTGATGTCCTTCCAAACCTGTTTGAGCTTCTGTCTTCTGTGGAACACAAAAGATACTGTAACCAAACAACTCTGGTGCCCACTGACTTCCACTGTATACAGAAAAATAAACATTAGGTTTGGAATCACATGAGGGTTAGTCGATGAATTTTTGGGTGAATTATGCTTTTATGAAATCCTTCTGTGCTGATTCAGTCCTTTGGTAATATTCGCACAGCTTCATAAAGTGTAGAAACGGCACCACAGTGTGTTTTCAGCATTCAGGCCTCTTGCACTTTACACTTTATACAAACTCAGACACATTCCTCCATCTGCTGAGAGACGAAGGCTTTTCCCTACCGTCCGGACAGAAGAGAGCAAACCGGATCTCACAGCACTCTCGACCCTTCAGAAACACACGCTTCATCTGTCAGTGAACAGAAGAATCAGAGACGCTGCTGGCCTTCAAGAACATCTGACACGGGCAAACGAGACCAAAAGGAAAAGGTGCTGCAGAAAGCATGAGCTGAAACTTCAGCTGAATCTTTCAGAGGACTCTTTTCACATGCAGAAATAAACTATAGCGGAACAAACAACGTCTGTCATGGGAAACTGAATTTTTGCTCTTGCTTTTCCACGACTTCACAAAATAGAGATGGATTACAGCAGAAGAGTCAAAGATATGCTATTTTATGGAAATTAATGGTCAGCATGTAATCCCAGGGACTTGTTGGTTTCAGAGTTGAGGGATTTGATTTGTACTGAAAAACCAAAAAAAAAGAAGAGGAGACAAAGATATCAAACATATTGCAGTTTTTATTATCCGTTTAGTTTACTGATGCAGTCACACATCAAGATAATAAAAACAATGACTGACATTACACATGCGCTTCTTACAGTCAGGAGATATTAGTGCCCAACATTTGTAACTAGTTGAGGAGCATTAAAAGAAGAATATGGTGTAGTTGTTGACAGTGACCTTGATTAAGGCCTGTGTGTAAATCCAGGATGCTCCTCTGTGTTCCTGAAGATCTCCACGGGTGAGTTCAGGGGACAACGCTGTGTTTATTGCCTAGTCAAAGCAGCAGCAGCCGCAAGAGACGACGCAGATGATGCTGTAGTGCGGGAACACCTGTGTGTGCTGACTACTGAGCATTCAAATGAGCTGGTTACTGCTGGACGAGCCCAGAGCCGCCTGACCTCCAGCGAAACGGCGTCGACAGGGATCTCATTATGCTCGGACTCTGACAGGACGGTATTGTGCGCAAGTGTGCAGCAGGACTCCAGATATGAAGCGAAGCACACAGTATGGTCAGTAAAGTGCGCATTCCTTCTTTGAGATGGACGCAGATCAGTTTCAGACAAACAGGAGCTTAGCTTCTCACACACACACACACACACACACACACTCAAACCTGTGAATACACACCCTGTTCACGATAGGCATTTTTGTGAGTTGATGTAATCTTCTTAAATGACACAGATTCTCATCTTAATCTCAGCTGGGGTTTTTTCCCACTTTGCTGCTATTTGACTGATTTCTCTTTATGCCTCCTGACAATTATCTGGCAAAAGGCAAAGCAGCATGACTGAATGATGCTTTAGAATGTGATGTGTGTGTGTTGTAGGTGGAACTGACCGGTAACAACATCTTTGAGTACATTCATCCATCAGACCACGACGAGATGAGCGCCGTGCTGAGCGCACACCAGCCGCTGCACCCACACTTCCTGCAGGGTACACGCAAAGCAAAATGACTGAATGATGATTTAGAATCTGTTGTGTGTGTTGTAGGTGGAACTGACCGGTAACAGCATCTTTGAGTACATTCATCCATCAGACCACGACGAGATGAGCGCCGTGCTGAGCGCACACCAGCCGCTGCACCCACACTTCCTGCAGGGTACACACACACACACACTCACACTCGCTAATACACACTCTCTCTCTCTCACACACACACACACAAACA